AGATCAGAGAAATAAGATAAGTAATAAATCGAAAAACACCAAAGGTTCTCAAAAATTGTGGACCGACCTAATAAATAAACACACTTTTTTCCGCATTCACAATAACATTTTATTAGCATGCATTGCATTTGTACAAAAAACGGTCATTGAGGACGTGAGCGCTGCCTCTGTTGAGCTGATCTTGTCAGAGCCCTTAAAGGCACATGATCGCTAGCCGAGGTCATTTCGCTCCAAAGTGGAAGCATATAAGTGAAAGGGACAAATGAAGAAAAGGGGGAAAAGAAATCATCGAGAACGGCGAGTTATGCCTGCTTCCCTTTGCGAGGTGGTTTCCTACGACGAAGAGTCACTGAGCGCCGAGGAGAGACCATAGTGGAAAAAGAAAAGAAGAAAAAGGGTGGCTTTGAGCTGTGGCTTAAGGTGGAACGAGTCAGTACTACTGTTGAAAGATCAAGTGAGGTATTCTTGGTAACTGTGAGTTATTTTCGTAGCAACATAATGATGTCACCATCAGATCGTCCTGTGTAGAAGACCGTGTAGATATTTAGAGTCCATAATTTTGACCTGATAAGGCACTCTCTAAGGAAAACAACAGCGAAACTGGTTGACTTTATCACTCAATGTAAAGTAGTCATTTAACCTATGAGTGTTCCTGTTTTGGGAAAGTTGTCATATATTCGGCTTCATTCCTTTACTACCACTGCAAAACAGTAAGTATAGGAGAATCACTAGGGCAACATGCATGTGAATAACAACAAAGAAATCACTAGTTAAGGAAATGTTGGAGCTTGATATAAAAATGTAACATTTTCTTGAAACGGGACCCATCAGTGAGGGTTCATCAGTCCATCAGCATGTGGTGAAACAGTTTATATTATCTTAACCTAAAGAACCTGTTTTGACAAAGGAATTAAGCTCCGGGGTGCAAAATCGGAAGCGGAATTGTTGCCACACTTCAGGGTTTCCCGCTGCAAAATGGTATTTCTGTATGTCGCACTACATGCCCCCCCCTTATTGAATAAGGCCCTACAAAATTTTTATGGAAGAAGCTTCTTCAATAACATTCTATCGCAATATTACAGTGATATGATTTGTCAGCTCACACACCCAATTTCAGCATGACTGTTTGTCTACTCCTAATTTTCGCATTTCTATTCTATAACGAAGCGGCAGGACCAACATGGGGTGCGTGGGGTGTTTGGAGTGATCCATGTACGGTGAGCAACTTTATACAGCCATACTGCTTGAAATATCAATCAATGGTAAGTGAACATTATTGGTGAGCCATCTTAAAAAATATCAAATTTTATTTTAGTCGTGTCCAGGAGCGATTTCACGTGGTCGCACACGAGTGTGCGTACCTGGAGACGATTTCAGCTTGTGCAGGTGCTTGACTTTTATAACATTACCTTCATTAAAAAAACAGTGCATGCTACCTCACCCCTTACTCCCTTTTCCCCTGCCCCTCCACCCCTTGCATGCATCATTATTTTAACCCATTGCGGACCGCCGTTATAATTGCACCTCCGTAGGTTTTTGTCATCTGTTTTATCAGTGGCCGATGACCTATCAAAAATTTAACCAGTATGCCAATAAGTGATATATCCTGTGTCCAAAAAGTAAACTGATGAGTTTGTAACTTAACAAAATGCTGAAAAAATCAAAGATTACTGTCCTTCTCCGCGTGGTGGCGTGCTGCACCATGTGCAGCACGCGGTCCGCAATGAGTTAATATCTATCGAAGGAGTTTTTCAGTGGTCCACGTCTCGAAGTCGAGAACTGCGTCAACTGTGTCGGTCAGTGGACAGAATGGGTGGACGGAACAGAATGTCCGGACACATGCGGCAACTGCGGCAGACTCACTCGAACTCGTCAGTGCAGAAATGCTGTTGCATGTCCAACTCCAACGTGCACGTAAGTTCTTGGTTACCGTGCCGTAGGTTCGATGGAGATTCTTTCTGAATCAAGTCGATTTCAGAGGGAACGGCTCTGACCTCAGTCCTGCAACATGCGACAGCGGTGATGTATGCACGTTCCCGAGATCTCCGTGCTGTGAAGGAAGCAAGGTATGAAAAACTTCGGTGCCATTGTCAGGACATCTACCGTCTGCTCGCTAGAACTAGATGCTCGTCGAGTGCAGACCACACACCACAAGTGACGACGGCCTCCAAGTAAATCTGGTAGAGTGATTCATAGTGATAGCTGATAGTTGGTAAATGATAGTTGTAATTAGTGACAACTGATAGAATACAACTGCAACAGGCTAATCATTTCATTGGCAGAAAACATTACATTTTGTGAAGGCCGTCGTCACTTGTGGTGTGTGGTCTGCACTCCACGAGCGTCTAGTTTTTGGAAACAAGGTAAGCGAATGTCCTTATGCTTGAAAATCGTTTCGTCGGTAATCATTTGTTCCAGTTAGCGTCAGGCTGCGCTTAGGCAAAGCTGGAGCAAAGATGTAAAGATTTCAAATTATAATACTTCAATTATCCATGGCGTGATAATGTCCATCTTTTATCTAATTGCTGCTTGTGGTTTTTCATGTCTAAACTTTGGTTTACAGCGTATATTTTGAAAGGGTAAGGATCGTTGTACTGAAAACAAATTTCGCCACATATCACAAAATTGGGAGTATTTTGGAGTGATTTGTTCCAAACCTGATTTCAATTCAATTTACGAGCTTTTCAAGTTTATTTGCCCGCAACGACGTTGTATTTACGTTCATATACTCGGCAGCTGCTAATATTATATCATACCTAATAAGTAATAATTCAAAGAAACCGAAAGCTCCTCGAAAAGGCTTATTTCTGAAATTTTTCGAAATACTGTTGAAACGCTTTTTACAAAGGTCTATTTTTCGCACTAAATATTGTGGAGTCCCCACTGTTTTTTACAGTTTACCTTTCAGAAGAAGAAATACGAAATATCGATCTGTACTTCTCAATCCATAGGACCAATGCAAGTTTGTTACTCTTTGTTACTCTGGATGTTTAGGCTGTCGACATTGCTAGGCAGCGATTTTACTGCAAAAGGGTCTAGCTGAACGAAGTCTACCAATTTTCCGAGGACCTTCAAATGGAAAGCATTTCTTCCAATCTGTCCTCTTCTTATTTTTGCTTGTTTATGCCCTTAACAACCAACAGGCTACTCCTTTATCAAAATTCAAAAATCAATCCAATCAATTTGTCTGTGAATTCGCATTGACCACCATCGACCAGGATTTCTTTAACTTTTATTATTTTTACCGTAACACACGACAATTCTAAACAAAGAAAACGGTCAAAGTCGATAGAAAGAACTCAAAAGCAGCCAGTCTGGGTGTGTAAGCTCTGTGATTCTTTTACCACTATACAGCTCTACTGTGGGCATTTCACTGTAACTTGTGGCATCGAATTCAATTGGATTATGACTGCGGTAGCGAATCTCCTGGAAAAGTAAAAATAAATGATTGAGTAAATAAACGAATAGATAACACAACATAAACATCTTATTGACGTTGTGAAACTGCAAGAATATTCAGGTCATTTGAAAACTGAAGAAGGAGGAATAATGAATAAATCTATTGCGAAATAGTGCGATTCAGTTCTTCGTAGCAGTCACCAGCAGTTATCGTTTACACTATAATACCATTTATCTTTACTTCTTGTATGTCTAGGGCGAAAATGGTGGTGTGGCAAGTAGCGCTTCTACCGCGCGCGCGACACGAACATCAAATCATGGATTGTGAGTCGTTCAGGTCTACCGAGCCTCTATCCCCCTGGGTTTGGTTGGGTTGGTACCAGAATTGTTAGAGAGGATAAAGCATTGACTGTATATCGGCTAGTCCTGCGACTCATTGTATAGAGCAAATCGCATTCAAAATGCCACTATGATCTGTATGGAGGCAGACTACGTGGCGCATCCCAGATCAATAAGCACCAGATGCTTCATCTTACATGTCTTTCGCAATTTGTCTAAATACTTCTGAAGGCTTCCAAGTGCGAAAGAGGAACTTATCACTTTTCTCTTCACCACCCTCTCCCCCCCCCCCCCAAATACATTTCTAGACATCTTTGCTTTCGATGGCAGGCTTGCAATAGGGCAAATGTACGGGAAGACAAGCCCCTCCCCCCCGTTCACCCTACCGACCTCGGACTTTCCCATGTTAGCCCTGTTGGTAGACTGGGTAGTTATAGCTCCACTAGACCTACGAAATACAGTTGCTTTTCAGAAGCGCTGGGAAGGAGATCTCACCATGTATTCCATAGACATGATATCTTTTTCATGGAAAAGATTTTTCCGGCTTTCCAGAAAATCATAAATACCGCCCACACCACTCATCGCCCATTCCGCTGAGAATGCAAAGGCGGCTGCTCTCGCAGTTGCTTGCATGTTAACTTCATAGGTGATAATACAGATCGGTGATATGGATTACCATCCAATTATTCATCATTTTTGCTACTTATGGCTATCGTATCAGGGTTCACCTTCAAAATGCACATGAATGCCGCTGGTTCAAACTTCAAGTCCAATTTGTGGACGATCAACTCAGGCCGTTTGACGATTTGAGCAACGTCCAACACACCGAAGACACATGACCACGCTCTTATTTGACCTAGAAATAATCGAAAAAGGCGTTAAAATAGAATGATAAAGCCAGAGCGATGAATGCATAGGAAGAATCGGGAAATGTGGGTAACACACCAACCTAAACAAGCCTTCTGCCATTCCCACACTTGGTAACGACCAATGTAGGTAGTGCCAACGGAACTTGTGGTCCATTGCCATGGTAGGTTTGTATTGAGATGCTTCCGAAGCCAGATGATGTCCCGAGCACGAAAAGAACCCGGTACGCGAAGCACTTAAGTGAGAAATATAAGTGCAGGCAATAGTTCGAAGACTTACATAGGTCTCACTTAGAATATGAACAGAATTTATGTCTCTTCCAAAGGAGTATGTGTCCCCTACTCCCTCTCCCCACCACCTCTAAAAAACAAGATGGACATGTGGATAGTGTTTGAGGCCTAGGCAGGATGGCGGTTTCACCTCTACGGCAATGGTGGCAGATTGCAGTTTTCGCTCACCTATTTGTATAAGGCACATGTGACTCCTAAAGGCAGTGGATGCAATTTTTTCAGCTTCAGAGAAGAGCATTCGTTGTTCATGGAGAGAAACTCCTTGGCTATAGGTACGAAGCGATATTAAGAAACCTTGACCGATTCACGGACTGCATTTGAAGGTAGTGGTAAGATACTGTTCCCCATCAGGAATAAAAATAAAGCTGGTGAGAAGCGCAGCAGTGAAGAGCAAAGCAAAGGAAATAGCCCAAAATCAGCGGAACAGGACCTTGTTTCCTGGTGAGTCGGTGTTGACGCCATTGCCGTGAACCCCTTCTGTGACTCTCAGCTGAAGGTTCCTAACAGTTGGGGGGCCTGTTAATTCTTTGTGATGAAGTTGAAATAACCTGTATGCTTGTGGACCGCTCTATCATTCCCGGGCTGGGACTCCACTGTTGTGGGACCTTTAGCTCCTTCACCGCTGTACCCCTACAAACCACCGTTCAGGTTCCGGCCCCGGCTATAAACGCCATTTACACACTTTCAAAGGCAAATGGAAATCACGATTACTCAACAAAGTCGCTCAAAACTAGTTATGAAATGACTTTTCAAAAGAGGTGTGCTTTTGCTCCCACATACTATAAAAGAATTGTTTATTGCTCTGGTCGGCAGTCTTACACGTAGAGCGAGTACAGGAAGTAAGCAATGTCTGAACAGCAAATTGGGGAAGCAGATGTACCCTGCCAATTTGCCGCTCAGACATTGCTTATTTCCCATACTCGCTCTACGTGTAAGACTGCTGAGCAGAGCAATAAACAACTTTTTTTATAAAGCGCCTGCGGTTTAAATAACAAAAAGTAGCACAACAGAAAAATCTCACGTGGAGCGTTGCCAGCTATTGACGTCCAGAATGACTCGTCTGGAATCCATGTGTTGCTAAGGTATCGGAGTAACCTTTTCACTTTCTCACTTCGTACAATATAATTGGCAGCTGCGCGTGGCATTGCTACAGACATAGCTGACTTGTAGAGTGGCAAGGGAGGATGAATACCCTAAAAGGAATCAAGTTTAGCGAGTTGACTCGTTCACCATCAAGTCACAGCGCGACAGTTATAGATAGCACAAGCGGCAAACTCGCGCGATTATTAAAGCTAAAGAGTCGGAGTGTACCGCTTGTGCTCACTTATCAGGGCTCCACGGCATGATCTGACGCTTATCATCCGTTCATAGAAAGAATGGACATTCAGACTTGTTCTTTCCCACGTATCTTTACGTCTTCTTTATTCCAATGACAGTATTTTAAGGGTATTCGAGACAGATCGTTGGATCGTTTTTCCATGGGATCAAGGTTGTTGGGTAAGGATTCGCAAAAATAGGGCCACTTTTGAGCAAGCATATCGGAAGTGTTTGAGGGCTTGTTACCGAAGATACCTTAATTCCCACACACCCTCATCGCTGCGGTATCTGTGCATCACTCCCAGCTGTGCTCTATCGTTCCCTCGCTTAGCCTCCCTTCCTTTCATTTGCACTCCTTTCTGCTGAACTCTCCTGCTGCTCAGAAGAAAGGAGTGCTTTAGTTAGTGTATTACAAATGGTTCCTTACTTCTTCCTTAACCGCAGGGCTATTTACCACCTATCGTATCCTATTTGATCCCCATTTCCCGTTTTGCTATAGTGAAATGTGCCTTTAAGTAAGAACCTGAGAAAAAAACATGAGCCAGCAGTCTGGCAACTTATCTAGAAAACTACGTAGCAGTCAAATGTTGCATATTTTTACTCCGATTTTGAGAAAAAACTTCTTGTTTTAAGGTTTGTGTCGTTTAAGGGGAGAGAAGAAATAGTTTGACCATATCAAATATGCTGGCAATAATGTGAATATATGGAAAGCAAAACTTTGTAAAGTAAATGCCTCCATCGTTCGATAGCGATCCATTTCGAATTCATCGATATCGGAGTTAATTGACCCATTCAATGCTTTCATTATGCGAACCATTTCCAGATTCGTGCGCAGTGGTAGATCCGAACCGGATAAATACTACAATATGACCTATTAAATGCATATTGATATAAAAACAATAGAAAATCAATAAACTGTACTCAATGCAATCACTGCAAGTGAACATAGGAATGCAAACCTGATAATATTTCCAATTATGTTTCGAATGTGCTAAGTACTTAAAGCACTGATATACATTGTCCAAAATGCCATATGACCCCCATTGTGATCGCTTTCCAATCTGTAATAATTGAATGATTTATTTTCAAAATATTTACACATTTCACTAACAAATGGAAAAAATTATTGATTGCTCATGAGCTTTAACTGTACCTTAAAGAAAAAAAATTATAAATAACTTCCAAGGATTATGAATAAAATGGGGTTCTTTAGCAGGAGAAACTTGAATTTAAAGGATGAAGGATAAAGCATCCGGCGTTGAACTATCCCTTCTCGATGCGCCACGCATGCTACTCCATTCTGAATCGTAGTCGCATTTTGAATGGTATTTCTCATATACAATGCCATGTCGAGGCCAAAGTATGTGCGAATCAGTGTAAAGGCACCAGATAAACGAGCCCGGATGTGAAAGGTTTGGTTAAGCTGAACAGCTTATGATCCAGGACGATCTCAGGACCAGGCGCAGCGCCACTTGCCACTACACCACATCCGCTTCTGTGCTTGAGCTTATCATGAAGGATGTATACCTCATGATGAAATGATTAACAGGAACGTGAAAAACGGAAACTCGCCTGACTACTGCTGAAAATAATGTTGGAATGCTTGTTTACTCAATAATCCAGCTTTATTTTATAATGAAGTAAATTATTGATTTTATAAAATAATATTCTCGATATAAAATATGATTTGAAAGAAGCACAGAAACTCACTATAGTTTTGATGTTTTTGAAGCATTTTGGTAATTCCAAGATAATTTTCTTGAAGGCCGCACTTGCTGTACCATCGACTGCTATGCAGTATGCATTTTGTGGGTAATAAAAAATACTTAATTCCAGTAGCACCTCGAATAATATTATATTAGCGAAAAACGAACTAAAAATGTTATAAACAAAAAAATCATCAACCTGAATGATATCCTTATACAAAACGAAACCAAATGCAAGAGGATACTCTTGTTCTTCACTAGAAAGCGGCCGCTTCTCGAAGAAAAAATACTTATTGATCGTTTCACATCTAGAAGCCTTTTTTTGCAATGGATTCACACAATTGCTTAGAAATATAGTTATTACATATTTGAGGACTTATAGAGTTCGTTCTCATATTCTTCGAAATCATATGTCCAATGCCGATATTTCACAACGTCCTCGGTGTCCTCGATAATTGGTTCGCAGTTCAGGTGCATCGATTCCAAATAATTCAACGGTAGCCCACTGAATTTTTCGAATTTTATGATGCCGTCGACTGAGAAAAGAAATAAAGAAATTCATTTTTCTTTGTGAATTGCACATCAATTTTTTTGTAATCTGCTTTCGTCAGTAATTTCGAATTGAAGACTTACATTGTGTCAGAATAGAGAGGGCCACTTGTTCGAATGTTCCAGTACATACAAAATATAACCAGTAGAATAATATGATTTGGTCTACGCATTAGAAGATGTGGGTAAATGTAGAGAATCGAGTGGGCGAAAACTAATGAAGATTTCATCTCGGATCACGTTTCGTATTCGTTTTGTGGCGATTACTATCGTCCCAGTAGTGAATGTGGCTTTTAAAAGTTCACAGTTTCAGACAAATATTTATTCTTTCGGGTCAGTAGAAAGCTCGCTATCCTCCAACAAAACTCGTTTGATTCAGGTTACGTTTCGCCTCACACTTGACTCGATGACCCTTCTCCGAGGCCAACCGATTCATTCCTCTCACACGCGGGACAGATCCCATTCAGGCTATCTTTGCTTGAACCCACGGGTCATTAGGTTTCAAGGAGTAGTCCTCCCTGGAGTTAGAAGGAGCGGTCTTCAGGCTAAGGAGCCGCGACACTGCTGCGATACAAAAGTGCGAGTAAATGGCGCTAAGGCCTTGCCTTGTGTGCTGCCGTGCTGCCATCCTTATCAATCGCGGCATACGTGGCGTCTGCGCCCTCTCGCGTACGACGTGCTCTCTCGCGTTTTCCCTCTCCTCGCAGCGCTGTGTCTCTCCGTCATACCACGGCCGACCTCATAAAGGGAATTTCAGTGTTTTCTATGCGCTTTTGCTTTTCTTTCCACCGCTGTTCCTCATCGCACTTCTCGTCAAATTTCGAACCAAATAGTACACCAACTTGATTCCGACCCGTGCCTTCAAATGATCGGCTCTCTCGGAAATTCTTTTCCTGGGTAAAGTAGTTATGACAAAAAACTTGTAAATGTAATAGAAAAAAATGTAAACACACATTTCAACCTTGGAGGAGCGGATAGCTCCTGTTAACCGTTTTCCCTTTCCTGGAACTATTTGGGTTGATACATTTGTCACCTGACAGACAGCCCCATTTTGTCAAAAGAATTGTCAGGAACAGATATGGGGCCTACCTCAGCAATAATCTGAAGAATGTGCTGCTTGAGGCAGAAAAGTTGGAATACTTTTTTAAACCTGTCATATGAGTTAGCTACGGTTTGCGGAGGAAAGAAGACTTGGGGACTTTGTCAGTATCAATGCACCCATACTCTTCTCTGAGTCTCACTGAAAGGTGAATTCGCTGTACGTTCTCAATGAGGCTATGCCGAAGAGTGAGGCTTGTTCTTTGGAATGCATCAATGCTGTTCTCTGCAAAAGTCACTGAACAAAGCCTGAGCTAAAATTCTCCGAGAAGCCTAGCGTGCCACCGCGAAAGCGTATATCCTCGTTACCATATTTGTGGCTCACTCCGTACTTCAAGTTGCAAACTGAAAAAGCTAATGGCAGACCAGTTGTTCAAGTCAGCTAAAGGAGGAGTTTGTCTAGGAGAAGGGAGTCGGAAAGCTGCTGAAGCTCTAGGTGGTGACTTTTCCAAACAAGGAGGGGTCGGGTTGCGCCTTGCCCGATGACTGACGCTGCCGCGAGTCGAGCACAAGTTTGGTGCTCGACGGGAGTCCCAGCCTGGCGGGGCGAGTCACACCACGTACTGTATGTACTTATAGGCAACAGGTTTATTCTTATGTGCTACTGTGTGTCTTATACCTGCAACTCGTCCGCTGACCCGACTGCGTCTCTGCAGATTCGCCACACGACGGGGGCTCCTGACGGGTACTCCTACCTTCAGTTTTCGTTAGAGTGCTGCACTTTGTTTGATACCGTACATTTGAACAAATTCGAACAATTTATTGAAGAGACAATCACTATCATCTCCCAGATTCGTAGTTTTTCCCACAGCTTCAGTGAATACAATCCTTGATCGTTTCGAGCTTTGTTACCTCGATGTTGGTTAGGTTCACAAAATCCACATCTATTACCTCATCCGCTTCCAGAACAAGTCGAGATTTGAGTATACATCGCTGAAATAACTGGAAACAATGACAAAGGCTACTTCTGATCTGGTGTTCAACCTGCTGCGCTTCTGACTCCACGTTTTGGATGTGCTTTCGCCTTTGAACTAAAGGCGCGGCAGGCGACAAGGAGCACCCTTAAACCGCAAAGAGATTTTAGCAGCATTCCACCTTGGGATAGAGAAGGAAAGCATTGGACGAGTTCCATGAACCTAATTCTGGTTGCAGCAGTGCCAGTGACATGAAGCGTTTTTTAAGCTGCGCCACGTGGCAACTGACAGCCTAAGGTGGGGCTTGCGGGCGAAGGTGGGAGTTATGGGTCGGACGAGCTTCTAGCGCCCTTGTAAGGGCGCGACATAAATACTGTCCGCCTGTCTACGAGGTAACCAAACCAGGGAGGGGAGGGGATGGGGTCCCCGACGGTCGACGGACTACTTCAACTCGGTTGGTACGGTAGGAGAGTGATGACGCAAGTGGTGCAGCTGGTCCAGCAGCTCCGCCAGAAGGGCTGGTTTGCTCACCCCAGGACTAAGCCTTGGAGAGAGGGCGGACCCGCTCCTCCGTCCTCTCTTTAAGGCTTAGTCCTGAGGTAAGCATCCAAATTGAGGCGGTTTTAAGGACCGAGTTGAAGTAGTCCGTCGACCGTCGGGACCCCATCCCCTCCCCAACATTCAGCATACGGCCCCAGCAGAAACGCCAAAAGGGCTGGTTTGCTTACTACCCTGTCTACTACCTTCGGCATGGAACAGGCGAGCACGCCTAATCCAAAAGCGTGCCTTCAAATTTGATTGACAAGGACTCCGTGATTTTTGCAATATATGAAAAGTCTACCGCTTATGGATGACGTTTTCAAACGAACCCAGCAACAGTAGCGGCACCTGTGTAATCCGCGCAACATTCTTTCACAACCCAGTGCTCAAGTGGGTCTTGCGAGCCAAGTTTGCATAAGGTAAATTCATTCACTCACCCCGTAGTCTATAAACATTGGGCACGTGTGATAGAAGTTAATTACTGGATCGATCTCCGAACGTAGATCTTCAGCGGAGCCGTTCACAAAGAAGCATCCATTTCGATCGGTAACTGTTTGGCCCATAAAATCGTCCAGCACCGCTAGAATAAGTGACAGCCTATATCGTCCTTCATCCGATCTCTATGTAATTGTTCTTGTACATAATTTCATTCTAGGGATCACGTTGCAATTAGAAGCTAAAACGTCATTTGACTAACCCCTTTTTGAGATGCGCCCTGCATTCTACTTCCATTCAGTGGCATTTGATGAAGGATGGCCTGTACAATGACTTATGGAGACCAACCGATGTACGTGTCAAGTCAAGTCAATATTATTATCCCCACCCAAGGTTGGTACCAATTTTTCGAGCCAGCAGGGACAAAAGCTTGGGTGACCAAGGGCGAAATTTGGTCCGAGATCTAATACAATCCGAGATCATGGCGTTCACGGAGCCGGTCAACGAAAATGGATCATGGTTTCGTAGTCAACCCATCAATCCCCTATTAGACACTGGGAACCATTTTCTAAAAAAAGCTCTCCACGCTGTAAAGACTTCCTTTGTAAGATCAATGATTTTTCATTGAACTGCTGATTTTTGCTCACCCAAATTCTCGTCAGGGTAGTGCAACTATTCATTTTGAAAACTGCAATCATGAATTTATATTAGGAGTTATCAGAGTCACACTTACTGTCTACGTCGTACATCTTCACTGTAACATTTCTGAGGGGGTCTCCATGGCAGTATGCACAACCATAAGCATTCACCGTTCCCTTGTCACCGCCAATGACTCGTAATGTCACCAGGAGCGCTATTAACGCCGTTAGAAGCCCCATTCTGAAATTGAAAGTTCTGGCACGCCAAAGTCTAGAAAATCATCTTTCCTTCCAATCAATCCTATCTGACTGTCTACCAAATCAAGCGGACTACCTAGCAAACCGTTTCTTCGGCAAAAAAATGAAGCCACCTTCTGTAGCATAGAGCAAGCAGAGATAATGTGAGAAAAAGGATTGATTTTTGGTCCCATTTTTATTTTTATTTTATTTTTTATTTTTATTTTTTTGTGGAAATTATTGACCACAAATGTTAATAAATGTTTTCAAAACTTACAGTAGTTAATAAAACACGTTAATGTTTCTTGTAGTGAATTTTGTGATCAGATTTCGGCCGGTCGCTCGTAGACGGGACACAGGAGATTTAGGACATAAAAAGAGTGATGAGAGATCGTGGGCTCCTTACAGTAAGGAGAGATCGTGTGGTTTTCACAATGCTGGCCTCCATTAGTGGAATTATAGCGCTTCGAGCATAGGCGAATTCAGTCGGTTGGCCTCTTATGCTAAAGCTGCTAAAGCTAAAGCTTTCAGCCTCACTGCCGATATCGGCTAACCGGCTCAACACGTTATACGTGTGAGTGCTGACAAGCTATGGTAAGTATACCATGAAAAGCTGAGTTGGAATGAAATGGTGCCCCGGTAGCGTAACTGGTAGCGCACTTGCCCGGAAAGCGAGAGGTGCGGGTTCGAGTCCCGTCTGGGGCGAAAGTTTTGTTCACAACCCAGCATTCTTGTGAAAGAAACTGAATTACCACAGTCACTTGAACCACAGAACCTCTCTTTTTTAGTCCCAATGTCCGTCTTTCTTGAAACCTTGACATTCTTAGGGGGAGGTCAGCTGTGAGCGGGATGGTAACATTACAAGACGTTTCGATATGCTTTCAAGGCCTTTGATAACGACGAAATGTCGAAACGTCAGGCATAATAAAAATCTCTTTTTAGGTCCTATCGCATAAGTATGCCAGATTATTAGAAAGTGAACGGGAAGGGAAAAACACTCTGCTGCGCAGACAGCTTCGTGTGGGTAGCAATGGTTGATAAAATCTGTGAAAGAATGTAAGAACAGTTGGACGTTAGCAGTGTTGCCACAAATTTGCATATGGGCTATTGTTGCGAATAGTGAACATCAATCAACTAGTTTCCAACAGTACTTGCCAGAACAGGTGGGATTTAGGATATAAATGTTCAGTAAAGACTAACGATCTGTTTTTGCCCATGTTTTATCCTAAAATCGATGTTCAGGTTTTCAGGTTCCGAAGTTGTACATTCGCACATAAACGAAAGAAAGAGACAGTGTTTTCTCAATCGTAATTTTGACATCACAACTGCATGGCCTTTTGTAAGACCCCTTCCCTCCCTCTCTTCACAAATTCTCGATCGATAACGATTTGAAACTTCAAAGTCACAACAAACTGCAGTGAGATTTAGTATTTTTGGTTAGGTGTATCCTAGTATCCTGACGTTAATTAACCTCTGAGTAAACAAACCTCTAGATATTACCTCTGAGTAAATCTGATAACCAGTGATTCATAGTGATAGCTGATAGTTGGTAAATGATAGTTGTAATTAGTGACAACTAGAATACTGCAACCGGCTAATCATTTCATTGGCAGAAAACATTTACATTTTGTGGAGGCCGTCGTCACTTGTGTTGTGTGGTCTGCACTCGATGACTATCAGGTTTTCGGAAACAGGGTACACAGTTAAATGCACTATCCCGAATATCGAATTCCTAGATGGCAAGATTGTCGTTTGCTTTTACATGTGATCCTGCATTCTTATTTATCAGCAAAATAAATAAATAAATAAATAAACACAAACAAACGAGATGAATTCCGAGCTACTATCATTAGTTATCATGCAAAGAAACACTAACATTAAACTGATTCAAGCCTGTACACATTACAGCATCACAATACTTTCTATACAATTGCATTCGAAACCAGCAATATTGTGAATTTTAAGTGTCATTTTTGTGGTAGCTTTTTGTGGGAACATTTCAACAGAAGATAGTCCAAGAAATTTCTATGATTATTGCGAAGCTGAAACGCACCGTTGAAATTCGATTCAATTGCGTGAGACGATCAATTCGATTATCGAGCGCTATTGATTTTCAACAGACGACACAGCTTGACAAAATCTAACGAATTCCTTTTTCAAATCATCAAACTTAAATAACTGGCATAAAGTCGAACAAAGCAACATGCCTAAATCATACATGCCATGTAATTACTACCGCGCATCACATTATTGATTTTAGATCGAATATCATTAAAGTAGTAGTAATAATAAAGGTTTTAATCATGTTACTTAATTGCTCTATGGCAACAGGTCAACACAAGCGGTCAAAGTTGAAAATGTCACACTCGGGAGTTGCGAGCGAATGAAGCCAAAGGATAACAGGGGTGGTCATCCAGTTACCTACGTACATACTTCAACTTAATCGAGTAAAAAAGATTTTTTTAGTTGACGCAAAGGGCTTTCACAATAAGGAGGGGCATGCAGCGCACCCATTTTTGCTCGAGTAGTTCTTCAAAGTTACGAACTGCTAAGGCTTCATTCCTATGCCACTTCCCTCAATTTTTCAATAATGCAAGGGTTTCTATAGAGGATGGCGCGAAGCAGTAATGACCAAAGAGATGAGATTTGGAAGGACTATGTCTAGGAGAGAGTATTTCACGACAAAAATGAAAATTGCTCAGGTGCTCGGAGTCCCCCACCCTCTTTCTTCCCTCTCCCTATTTAGCCCTCATTGTTTACAATAAGAAGAAATGCTTGTTCTGGCCTTGATCACATTGGGCGCTCTGCATCGCAATGCCCCTCTTCATTGGAAAAGGCTCGACAGTGGATTGAATCTGATGGCTAGAATCAATAGTGAGTTTTGAAAATATACAATAATAGCAAAATATTTCTTGCACAATCAAAAATTCAGCGCAATCACTAGTGGGCACAATAAATACTAACTACTCTACAACTATAATTTATAAACACTCTGGCATGTTCCGAATGAGAATCGCCCAGATTGTCTCAGTAACCGTAGCCATCAGTTCCAACAAAAGGATTCGGATTTGGCGGCATAGAAGGAGGCGCTCCAGCTTGGTACGAGGTGTTCGCCACGCTGATCTGATGTCCACCACTGACTGCACCAATTCCTTAAATTGAATTTTTGAGCAAAAATGAGAATATTGTTTTGTATATACAGAAGAAGCACAATGAATGGGGTCCTATCCAGTAGGAAGGTATGTGGTGCGGCAGTTTCTACCCCCTAAAGAAATTCCAATTTTTGCAATGGGAGGAAATTCCCGGGGGAGAGCAATTTCGCCTTCTCTTTCACACCCACCCGGAGCGTCCCTCTGAAAAATACGGCTACCCGGCAGGAAGCCCGTAACGCGATGAGAAGGAGAGGCGCAGACGGTCAGCGGACGAGTCGCAGCGCGTGCTGTGCGATGTGGGACGTACTGTAGCACATTCTATTTAACTTGACGCTAAATCGCTACAGTACGCGCTGCGACTCGTCCGCTGACCCGTCTGCGTCTCTGCCTTCTCGCCGCGCGACGGGCCTCCTGTCGGTACCCAAACTCTACGAACTACTTTATTACTTCAGACGACATGAACTGTTGCACTATGTACCCCTCCCTTGACTGAATGAGACCCCATACATCACTCAAACAGAGGAGTCGTATTTGGAATTCACGCAGGCTCAACTTCTAGTACTACGTCTTCTGTCAAAAATGCCGTGGCCTAGCCAATGGTTACATTCGGGATCTCACAGTTCTAATTGTACCTTCAGAACTTCCGCCGTAGCCGTAGCCATCTTGAACTTCACCGTCAATACCACTGAATTCGTTGTCGAAGTTTGTTCCTAGAGCCGTGACGGCGCCCTCCTCATATCGTCTCCATGCGAAAAACGCTGCACCCCCCTGGAACGGTCACTTGCGAAACTAGTACGGTAATTAATACAATATATGACAATTTATTTGGAAAATATGCTAATAGTGGAGAAGTAAAAAAGTAGAAAAGGTAATAAATCTGTAAGTGTGGACTTACCCAGGCCAAAGTCGAAAGGAGTGCTAAGAGAATGCCGAATTTTGCATACCCAGTAGAGTACGGCTCATCCAGATCGAACGATGAATACTTGCTCCAGAATGTGAAGAACGCAATCAGAAATATAACAGCGAATATAGCTGTAATAATTTATTTCACGGTAACCTGGGGGAGTACAGTGCAGGTTATCATTCTCCGGCTCAGTGGCCCTTTCCTCACAGGCGTGGCGCGGCAAGCGTGGACGAGCCGTTTATGCTGCGGCTCAGACGCAGCTTCGACGCCGTCGCCCGCAACGGCGGAAGCACATCGACTCGTCCACGCTCGCCGCTGCCACGCCTTCATGTCCAAAAAAGTCTCGGAACCTTATCCCCGGCTTTTTTGAAAAGAATTCAAGCGAATTATGTTGACGTAGTCTAGTGTTTCCAAAGAAGGTGCAAAATAGTCATCCTGTAGGTTATGTAAGCAGGAGAGATACCACTGCAATCAAAAACAGCACAACGCTAGATTGCGGTGCATAGCGCACTGCGTGAATTCCTGCGCTGCTGGTATTAATCATAGACAACCAACGCTTACATCTCTTCCGACACGAGCTATCAATAAGCACCAGCGTTAACTGCTGACTTCGAAAGGTAATTACTCAGGAAAGGGGCAGGAGAATAATAGGATCATGCTCACAGCGTTTGCCCTACTGGATGGCTTTTACTGTGCATCGGGCAAATTCATTTTAAGGGGATGTGGGCAGTTATCTCCTCCTCAGTTGAATTTTAGCTACCCCTTGTCCTTAATTTTAGCTTCTTGTTCCAATTTTGGGAAAAACTTTGAACTTGTGAAAATAACGCAGCTCACCGGACACGGCCAGGTCGCCAGTGACAATCCTTTTTCGTGTTGGAATGGAGGAAACGCGCTCAAATCGGGCATCGGACAACAACAGTGCTCCAGCACCAACAACTGAGAAGAACCCGAGAGCGGAGGCAAATGAACACGTCGACGCGCTGCTGCCATACAAGCAAATCTAAAAAGTAGATTGAATTACGAAGAATCTCTCTTTATTGCAAGTTTCGCATTCCACCTTGATCTAAAAAAGGAGTCTACACTCCATTTTGAACAAAAAAAAGGCAGCTTGATGGTCTAAAAATTTATTCCGTAGCAGAATAGAATGCTTGGCGCAAGGCCGGCCCGGCGCGATAATTCGGTGACCGCTGGATAGAGCTGTTGCAAATATCCATATTCACAGGATATCTACAGCTGCTTAAGCTAAATTACATGCTAGCGGTTTGCAATGATAACCTCTACACTGCTAGCATTGATGGGTTCCATTTTGAACGTGAACTGGGTTAAATATTCCGTTTAATTGAAGATTCATCCACGGCAACATCGCTGTGGATTATAACGCACAAAAAGCAATGCTTAGAAAATCGCAAAGCCGACAAGTTTTTAGACAGTTGATTCGTGGGGAAATGAAAGGGAATTGGTTGCTGAATGAGCTTCATTTGTTCATATCTTTATAAACTCGGCGATGTCATGTTTCGCTGATTAACCTATTCACTATTTTTTCCTTTTCACTATTTTGAATCCTTTCCTTGCTATCCTTCAATCTCACTTGTTATATACCTCTGTGGATTGCTCTACCCTTTTCACAGAAGGGATCAATTCCTTGGCTTCAGCGATATCCGAGGTTCAGGCATGAAAATATTAACACGTTGGGACCAGGGTCAATTGTATGTTGCGACAAGTACCAAGGGGGAGGGTCGTATTTTTTGAGTTCGTAGGTGGGGGGGGGGGTCGTATTCGATGTAATCTTAGAATTCATGGGTGAGTTTAGGGCGCGTAGTGTGAAGGAGCGGGAAAAATTTTGCCGTTTCACTGTACGTATATACCCCCCCCGCTCGACGGCTGTTTTGGAGGGAAAAGTGGGTGGAGTTAGGTGTGTCGACTGGTCTCAGAATACACTATGGGAACAACGACCTGATGGCGAGGGTGGTGGGGAGGGGTCGTAAAAAACCTCCAAAAAGTCGCAACGGTAGGACCGACTCTGGTTAGGACCGCGCATGTTTTACGATTTGCGGCCTTTTAGGAATCTTATCAAACAAATTGGGACGAAAATGTTACTGTATAATGCAGAAGAAACCTTATCGAATAAAGTGGGATGGAGCATAAGATAAACTTAATATTTGTTCCCAAAATGTGGGCTGTAAGACCCTACGCAGGCTCATTTGGGCTTCATGGACTCCAAAGTCTTGAAGAGATAAAATTCGCGAGTTGCTGTCATAAATCTCGGTGAACTTCATCTTGAATAAGGTGAAAACGTAGTTTGGGGGGAGGGGGGCACTCATGATATCTAATCAAAAGGGCAATATCTAATCGAAGTGGAGTTGCGGATGGGCGGTCATATCTAATCAACAATCAGAGGATCTGAGTGAACGATTAGATAGGGATACCAATCCTTCGAAATCGGATACCTGAAGGGCCCTCTCTTCGAGGGCTTGCACGGCAATCGCAAGAAGGTTTGGTGAAAGTGAAGAGTCAGCAAGGTAGCAGCCATTTTAGCCATAGAATAATATGACACGGGTAACAAGTGTGACGTACTGGTGGTAGGACCACGGTCTCAGTAATGATATGGTAAGAGAGTGTCTTCCCGCAACTCTACTTTGATTAGATATGAGGGTTTCTCCTCCTGCACTTCAACTTCAACGTTAGAGTGCCCCCCCCAAACAACACTTTCACCCTTGAATGATTTTGCTCCAGGGATCAAATGCAATTGAATTCCATGAGTTCCAAGTGAACATCTGCCAACCTGATGATGTGAGCTGCCGTTCAGTCGATGCCAACCACCTTTTGATATACTAAACCATAATAGAGCGGCGAGCACCTGAAAAGAAACTCAATTAGCGAATTATGCTTCCATTTGATGCACTAATGCATGAGAGTTCCGCCGTAGGATTACCTAATCATTCGGTTCACTCATGCGTGACACCTTTCCAACGACGTGAACAAATTAAATGCAGTACGATGCTATGCAAACGGCATTTTTGGCCATCCATTCCAGTCGTAAGGTCAAAGACCATTTTGCTCATGTGATACTCTCCAGCAGGGTGAAAATCGCTTGAGGAAAAGACAACGGCTCGTCGAGGATTTCTTTCACGCTCTCCCACGCGGATGCTCACTCTCGCCACTGCGAGCCGTCTGTGCTCTCCGCGCATTCATTCACTCTCGGCACTACTCTCGCACGGTAGAGAGCCATGGTCGAGGAATTCCTCGACCGTTATTCACCCTGCTCTCCAGTATGTGCGGAGTGAATCACAGCACAAAAAAGTTTAGGGCGCTGTAGCATGAAGCGAGGCACCGTAATGGCAGTGCAGTTAAAATCACGTTAAATACTTTATTTTTGCTAAAATCCAAGTCTTACTGTGAGGTGGGGTTAGGGGACACTCCTGGGTGCGTGTGCAATTTTCATTCTCCCCGAGGCTCTCCCAGGTTTAGGCTTAGATGATGCCCCCTATCTTGCGATAGCTCCAAACATGAGTATTTTTTGGATTTAGTTTTAGAGTTCCTTTTCTAAGTTTTAGCTGATTCAACTAGGGTCTTTACCCGACAGTGGATGTGTTGTTTTTCAATAGGTCGAATAGAAGGATAGAAATCAACTCTTTTCGGGATGCGCCACGCATTTACTTACATCCAGAATCATGGCAGTATTTAATGGATGCGGACTGCTATACAATGAAACAGCCAACCTAGAATATTTTTATCCAACCGAGGTCTGGAACCAATTGGTTGACCAGGCTTGGTTCTGGATAAGATCTGACTCGGAATTCGACTCCCGTACCGTGCGCGTATTAAGTAGCGCACCACACTACCTCTCCCATAAGTTTAGCTTTTCAATTGTTATAACCAAGAAAAGTCTTTACAAAGCCGAAATCTAAATGACGAAGTCCTTTCGAGAAGACTGGAAAGTTGATTATGAAAGCGTTCAATGCTTATTTAATAGCGAATCTTACCTTGATACTCAGAAATTGAATGTCCCGAAAATTCCATGGATGTCACCTTTTTATTAAGCCTAATTCCAAACTTGAAAAAGACTCGCTTTCGGAGGCACACTTCACGATAGCATCGAGTTCAGAACTTCAAAAATGGGAGGTGAAAATGCAAAGTGGTCCCCGTTGAAGATGAAGTGCGAAAGAAATCGCCAAAAAACGTCCTAAGTGGAGTCCTTTTTCATTCTTGTGCACGTGTACCTTTGGGCCTTAACGTCCCCAGATTCGCTGTCGGCACAGCCTGCAGGATGCCTTACCATCTTCACGCAAGGGCTATCCTGCTGAGTTGATTGTTGAAATATGTTCTGTTCTAGAATTCAAAAATAGTATATTCTGGTTCCGCAAGCAGAAATAATCTCCCTATCAAGTTTCCATGATGACTGTGTATCCAGAGTATAGAATTACATACGAGGTGAGAAGATTCCAAAATAGCATCAACACTTTACGAATGAGGCCCATACCATAAAAAATGCCCAATAATGGCTTTGGGGTCGCCTGTTTTCTCTGTGCCACACATCATAAAACCGACGTCGTTGGCTGTTTGGGCTAGAAACTCAATCACAAGCGAATTTTCGCTGCGGAAACACGATTATATCCTGGCTATATTTCTCGGAGTTGGTGAGCCCAGAGTGTAGCTAGCAAAAATGCACACAATTTTTGAATTGTTTTTTTAAGAATAGAGCCTCTCATAACTGATAAACTGATAACAAAGAAGCTGTAGAGCAACCCTACGAGTTTTTTTTAACATACTGATAAAATAAATAAAAAGATGAAAAGGTAAAGTAAAAGCGATCGCTCTTTTGTTTGTCACGATAGTTCAAATAAGGTGTGACGGAGATGTTTGCGAATGAAATTTCTTTTATGAGTGTAGTTCAGGGTAAATTCTTTAGACGCAGGCAGAAGGACTTTTGAGATAGGCAAGAAATGCTGTGGCAGCCTTGGTAGTGAATGCTATCGAAAACGAACCTGGGCCGCACAGGCGCAGCAGTAGAAGTTCTGAGTGCAGGAATCATTAATGTCGACTTTTGGAGGTATTGGTGCGTAGTAAAAACCTGCAGCTTAACCTATGCTTGACACTACCTTGACCCAACACCTTCAGAAGCAGTCACGATAGCTGGAGGGTGGCGCGATTTGCATTATGATCAACATCACTGGTGGAAAGGCTTTAAGAGGCGGTCAGACACACCATCGATCCCTATTCCGACTCGTGCTGAGGGCCAAGTCTACCTATGACGCTCAATGACGTCATCAATACCGCACCGCCCTCTACCCGTCGTGATCACTGCCTTTAATGCCTCCGGCCATGAGATCAATGCAAAGACGGTAGAGACGCACGAGCAATGAATATGGTAGCTCAAAAAGTAGTGAGGACTGTGTTGTGAAATGGAGATTATGCTAGCAATCAGACCCATACCTCCACATCTTATTTGTCGAGAGTGGGGAGTCCCTGCAATCCGAAGCTCAAAAAACTGATCGAATTTTCGATGGCTAGGATCAAATTATACGACAAAGAGGGAGCGCGTCGAGGAAGAATAGGCGCCACAGGAAGTAGATTACTTGGTTGCGAAGGACGAGAGGTGTGGTGTTTTAACGACGAAAGGTGCGTTGGAGCTCAAAATCACCACGCCCTCTAGGCGCTCCACCCACTAGTCTGGTTAGCGAGTTGAACGAGTTGTGTTGCCAGCAGTAGCACAACTGGAGCATGGATTGGCATGGTTCCACCAAACGCATTGCGGCAAGCGTCCATACGTCCGCCGTCTTGGCCGATGCTCGTCCTTCAGCGAATATCAATGGCCAAGAAAGGGGAACTCTTCTCTCTTTTTCTTGTCGGATTTTTTTTTCAGCATTGGCGTACCATTGAGCACAACTTTTACCTTGGGAACCCCTTTAGATCGTAGTCTCAAAGTTTAGCAGCTTTACCTGCCTGTTGGGTTTCTGCTGTTGTTCTCTTTAATACGCTGTGCCACGATGCTGCCGCTTTTGACCTTCTTTTAGAAAAAAAAACCCATTGAAAATAGAATAGTGTTATGGTCAGCAAACGTGTGGAAAATGTTGCAGCTAATGGTGTTCCGTTTTCTTAGGACCTCCTTGTTTAGCGTTATAGTTAAAGAAAGAAGTAAACAAGCCAGCAAACAATAGAAATACGTTCGCGAATTGCGCATTCATCAATAAATCATCGAATCAGCAAAGAATCTTCCGTGCCTAGGGTCCGGTATTATGCCGCAATGGGAAATTTGGTCACTAAAGACGGTGAGGCTATTAAGATGCATGCTAAGCTTCAAGTCTTCGATGAGAAAAAGAATGGGAAAAAATACTCAATATGAGACAGAGTATAAAGTTGTATTTAA